CACCCGCCGCTAAAATTATCACCCAATGTTCATCTTAGAGAATATCCGTTCAAACTAGCGGTCTCCAAATACCGATTGTAATGCCGGTGTCAGTCATTCGCAGTCAGAGTGTGTTCGACCTGAACTCTCTCCAAACCCAATGCCATCTGTGCACGAAGCATTGAATCTTTCAAATTGAGACTCGATGAAACATTAGCACACCTTACATTCCAACATAAGTGAAGCTGCGTGCATTGATGAAAGAATCTCGTATCAGTTGACATTTTATACAACAAATTGTATATATTACTACCTTTTAAACCACAACACGAACCTATTGGATGAGAAAAGCATGTAAGCTTGTAAGTGATTCTCAAAATAAAACTTTGAATATTTGATGTTAACTTGACTGAGGAGTATTTGTTCACTTACTGAACAATAGCAGTACTTGGAAGAGTCTGTGAAGCAGTTTGATTGGTGCTACGCAATCGAAATAGTGAAATCGGGTAAACTTTGCATGTGTTCGAGATATTTGTGTGCTTGTGTGTGTGTAGAGAGAGAGAGGGAGAGACGGGTCAACAATATCGGATAATCAACGTACCGAATTTTACTTCTTTCCTTCAAATGCTGAGCAAGTTTGGCCATTAGAACAGATTTCCCACTGCCGGATCCTCCCCTCACGAACATGAAACTGAATGCTCCTCCGAGGGCCGCAATCGAACTATCCGACGACAGGGGACCCGGTTCACGCGTGCGCTGTGCATCAATCCAATCCACCAGATCGTCCAGCAATTTTTGGCGTGCGATAAAATATTTTGAACTATCAACAGAAAAAGATTTCTTTATAATAATCAATTATTACTTTCAATAGTTAATGATTACCAAAAATGCCTCAAATGTATAACGATCAGATTTTAAATGTATCCATGGATAAGTTGCAACCGTCGGGTAACGAGACGAGCCCATCAGCTTTCAGGGAATCCTGTTGGGAGGTAATTCATCCTGTGACACATGTTATTGAAAACCATTGACAGTAATATGTATTCATTTCGTCTTTTTTATGATGAATAATAAATATTAGATGCAGTCGGGTTGGTGTTTCCAAACAAATAATAACTCTGGAAGCAAATTCTGTGATTTTAGGGCTGAGACTCGAGTACAAATTTTGCAAAGATGGGTTTCCCTATATCGTATAAAAGCAGAATGTGAGTGATCTGATCAACTGTTCGATGGTCGAGTGGATAGTATGTTTGAATTCTGCCTGTGGGGTTTGGGGTTTAAGCCCCAGCCAAATCAATCGATTCGTGCTGCTGATGAGATCAAGTCAGGTGGAAACAAACGTACAGTGCATCCTAACGTTTCACTTCTCGTTCTATTTACTGTGCACGATGAGATCTACGAAATAAACAATTATATAATTAATGGCTTTACCTCGTTTTTGTTTATTCAGTAGCAAGTGTAAAGTCAACTTTCCGGAAGAGGACTGCGGTCATACATACGCTGCTTGAGGAAATACAGAAATGGGGAAAATGAACGACCGCTCGGTGCTATTCGAATCCGGCATCTTTGGGTTACTATTTTGATACTTGTGACCAACTTTACTCCACCAGTCTCGTTAACAACACATAACCGCTTAGTTTAAAATGAATAAAATCCAGCTAGCTCTAGAATAGCCCAAAAATATTAGCTGTCAACACTGTAGATAATAGTTGACCACTCTACTCGAAGGGATTGGGGAGAGAGGTGATTGTTTATCTTATACTTGAAGTTAAACCGACAAAAACCTGTTTTATCAAGCGAATAATTAAAAAAACAGTTCATTGTCAACAATTCGTGTGCGTATGAATAGAGTCAATCACACAGACCCGATTCTGAATGCAATCACTGTAGTATTCGATATCATTCGGTATCGATTGATATATCAGACTTTCAGGAGTGTTTTTAAACTGTTTAATCTCAGCTGACGTTTGTTGTATTCAATATAACTCGCAATATGCACCTGAATTAAATCCTTTTACTAGGGCACAAACCGGTAGCGTAGGATATCATGAACAATAACAAAAGCATATCATCAGCCGGTACTGACCGTACAAGTCATCAGCTGTCACCCAATCAATAACAAGCAGACATGTGGTGCAGTCTGATTGGTCACTGTAATCAAGATCGCATGTGAGGGACGTCCGTGTCAGGTTTATGTTTCTATGCGCGCCTGTTTAGGTTGCTTGTGCAGTTGGTGCAATGTATACAAGTGTTATCCAACCAATGCATTAGATCACAAAACAACGTTAACTGACAGCACGGTTACTTATCCAACCAAACTGGTTTCAAGTCATTCCTCGAGCATAGCACATGGTGCACGAAACCTAATGGGGTTCTGCTCTATAAAACTGTCTCTATAATTCCTTTGTTTCTACCGTGTGAACGCTCTAACGACATTAGTTACAACTCGCCTCTGGTCACCAATGCAAGTTCCGATTTGTGATAAACATCGGACTCCGCAGGGTGATAGGTGTATCAAATCTCAGGGATTTGACATCCAAATACAAAAGTGAAACCGAACAAACTCAAACTCACTACTCTTCACATGCTTCCCAGTGGGCCATCATTTCATACTGCAAATCCCACAACAGTGCGGGACCATCCGGTCCCGTCGAACAGATGTCTCGATCGGGTGGTTCCAGTCTGGACTCCGTCTCGGCAGACATTCTTCGAGCCATTTCCATGTGCAGACTTTTCTCGAACATTTGACGCACATTTCGTACCAATTCTTCCAAATAGCCGGCGTGATCCGCCCGGGACAGGGGATCGACCGTGGGATGCTCACCCATAAGCTCAATTTCCTCCAATTCCGCACTCGTTTGACCGGAAAGATCATAATGTATCTGATTGAACTGGGGCACCTGATTGTGTGTCAGGCATTGAAACGGGGGAGAGGGAGATGTGTGAGCCGGAAGAAATGTGAATGGTCAGCAATGCGAAAAGATGTTTATTATCTCATTGATCAATGCGATGGAAATGTTTGGGATAACCATTATAGATTTCGGGCCTATCTCTAACGTCCCCTACAGAGTACTATTTCGTTGACCGTTTTCGCACGCTCCTGATTTCTACTTGGGTCTTTCATGATTGACCTCCAGATCACCGGATAGCCAAGGGTAGCCGGGAATTCCATTCCGTCTAGCATTTTATCAGACGATAGACACAATGTATTGAAAACGTTTTACATCCTTCGATTTATTTCATCCTCCTTTCATCGGGTTCGCATTTCAACAGTATCAGAAGGAGAAAATACTCTGAAATTCGTGTTGTTCTTGTTTTAGTGAATTGTTTAACTTCCTTTCAGGACCGAGAGATATTCATTCACCCATTTTTCCGCTACTTTTCAATCGTACCACACGAAAATCGGTGCCTTATTTTTCCGAATAAAAGAAACGGGAGCACAAATAAGCTTTTTTGCGCACATACCGTATAGGTATCACATGACACAGTAGTAGAAAACCTGAAGTTAAAATTGAACTGGCTCAGGCAAGCCCCATTGAACAATGGCTATCCCGAGTGATCTATTGAAAAGAATCTATGTGATAGAGGCATAGGCTCAACGGTGGCTACAGTTAGCCAAAAGCAAATCTATATACGTCTCCCGTTCAAAGGTGACTACAAATGCGATTTGTTAACACGATGCCTAGATGAGTCGATCACTCAAACGTTCCCTGCGGCCCGGTTACGTATATAAAATTCATCAGCCGATCTTTGTTGTTGAATCGGAAGATAAATTGTCAATTCGCACTTCTTCCATATTGACCTATCCTTTTGTTTGCTCATGTTCGGCAAGTTACATAGGCAGGACGATCAGGCAGTTTTCTCATAGAATCAAGGAATACAAAGTGGATTGGTTAAACATAGGAACCACAAGGACCGTTTCGAGTGCAATCACGGAGAACCTCGTAGATACCGGACATCAGGAAACTGAAGATGCGTTCGAAATTATCTACAAAGTACCCGCAAACCCTCCGACACCGCCATCTTCCGACAGCAGAGGCGGTAGCAATAAGGTTATTGCGACCTATGCTCACAAATACAATTTGTTAAAGCCCTACAGCAGCTACCCTGGTCCAGACCCGACACTGAACGTCAATTCACCCATGACCCTTTTCGAGACCCCTTGACCTGTGTGACCTCGTCCTTCCTGTTTCATCCCTCTTCCCCTCCTTTCTCTGTTTTCACGATTCCCGATTTCTAAACCACGGATTAACAACTTTTGTTTCCACATCTTTCCCAACCACGCCTCACCACTTCCATACCGTCCAATCAACGCATTTTCGTTCTGGCATTATTTGTTGCACGTTTATTCNGGTCAATTCACCCACGACCCCTTGACCTAAGTGTGTGACCTCGCCCTTCCTGTTTCATCCCTCTCCTTCTCTCCGTTCTCTGTTCTCACGATTCTCTATTCTAAACTACGGATTAACAATTTTTGTTTTCACGTCTTTCCCAACCACTCCTCACCACTTCCATACCGTCCAATCAACGCATTTTCGTTCTGGCATTATTTGTTGCACGTTTATTCACTAATTGTATATAACTGTATTAGTCAGAGGATGAAATTATCGAAAACGAGCTTGTTCACTATTCGTGTTGTTCTGTCAATGTCACGATGGGAATCTTCAGTGAATTTTATTTTGTATCAAACTCGCCAGTCAATGGATTTTGATGAACCTTTACATTTCTATTGCTGGAGTGTATTTAATATTCAGTATCTGAGCGCTGATTAGTATCACGAAGGAGATGTGAAGGATTTTAAAATGTATAGCCCAAAAGCATCGACAAAAGTCAACGTACAAAGGTGATTTTGACCGTGTAGTTCACAGCTAACTGTTTGAATTCCCAACCCGAAAGTTCGCGATTCGATCCCCCCCAAAAAATTACACATTGTTGACGGTTCCCGAACTGGACGAAACAGCTGTCCCGGCGCTCTTAGTCCGTCATCAGAAATCTTCTCATCGCCTATAAGTGCAGTCAACTAGTTGAAAATCAACGGTCTATCAGAGAGTGAAACCCATACCAAAGACCTTCTCAACAGTGCCTTTTGCCTGTGAATAATCGAACGGATTATTAGAACTTTGCTACTATTGGGGTATGAGTGTCCTTCACGGGGAGGAAAAAAATGTTTCAATGGGGATGGTGCCTGATGAAAAAAGATATCATCTGA